CAAATGTGGCAAAGAAAGCTGATGGTGCCCAGCAATCAAAAGATGTCTAGGGTCTTAAAGGCTAGAAGGTAAACAAGCGGCCATCTAGCTTAGAAGCAACAAAGCCCACATGGAAGAAGCACACCAGCCTGTGTGATCACAAGGTATCGAAGGGATCGGATATCAGCCATCATCAGAACAAAAAAATCATATCATTGTGAATGAGGGGGAATGCAGAGTGGAGACCCAAAGCCCATCTGTAGGCAATTAGACATCCCCTTATGGAAGGGTCGTGGGGAGATGAGCCAGTCAGGATGCAGTGTATCAACGATGAAACATACAATTTCCTCTATTTCCTAAATGCTTCCCCTCTGCCCCTCATTGTCATGATTCCAATTCTACCTTACAAATCTGGCTAGACCAGAGGATGTACACTGGTACAGATAGGACCTGGAAACACAGGGAATCCAGGACGGATGATCCCTTCAGGACCAGTGGTGAGATATACTGGGAGGGTGGAAGGAGGGTAAGGTGGAAAGGGGGAAGCAATTACAGGGATCTACAGATAACCTCCTCCCTGGGGGATGGACAACAGAAAAGTAGGTGAGGGGAGACGTCGGACACTGTAAGATATGACAAAATAATAATTTATAAATTATCAAGGGTTCATGAGACGGGGGAATGAGGCGGGAGGGGAAAATATGAGGAGCTGATGCCAGGGGCTTAAGTGAAGAGCAAATGTTTTGAGAATGATGAGGGTAATGAACATACAAATATGCTTTACACAATTGAAGCATGTATGGATTGTGATAAGAGTTATACGAGCCCCCAATAAAATGATTAAAAAAAAGTGGAAACTTTTCTGAATATTTTAAAATAATATTTTTCTTCATGTAGGACAATTGCTTAAAGAATATACTCATTCCCTCCGTGATTATATAGAGATTTTTTCTTTGAAAATTGATCAAAGTCTCTGAGTTCTAAACAATTAGGATTATAATTGCAATAGTAATTACAATCTCCTTCATGTGATACATGAGTAGATCCATGAGGAGAGTCTGTACATTGTCAGAAACCCACAGTTCCACCCTATTCCATAGTTTCTGTCTACGAGTTGCAGTTCCCTGGATGGCAGTGGGATAGGGTCGTGTAAGATTTTGCTCACAGCTCAAGTATTGTGTCCGCACACTTGAGATTATTATAGTGTCCATGAAAGGTAGCACACTTTTATCTGAAGCTAAATCAGGTCTTTGCTTTAGTTTTGTTTTCCTCCAACACAGTGGCCCTTTGTATTTTCCATTCCAAATTCTATATGAATTTAGGGGTCAGATGCAAACCATCTTTAACCCAATTGCAAAATCTAGAGTAGCTTTTAGAAAAATTCTGTACATTTGGTGTATTCATACACATATCCAAATATAAGATGATCTTGAAGAATTATTTGAGATCACCTATAAACCAGGTATTGAATTCTTATTTCTGCTGATGAAAAAAATTGCTAATTCCTGAAGTGTGCTTCTCAAATCACATACCAAATCCTTCCTTTATTTATTTTTCTCTCTGTCCTTTGCTTTCTAGACAAGGCAATGTTTAAAGTGTGCTCTTCAGTAAAATAAAATTAGGCCTGAGAAGGACCCCTTCATTCAAACTGAGAACACAGTGACTGATCTGTTTAAAGAACTGTCACTCTAGGGCTATAACAGGGCAATTCAAAAACACTCTCAATAGCTCAGAAAACCATTTCCCAACAGGTCCTGAAGATTTCCACAATAAGCAGCCAGCACGCAGAGACTTGCTTCAGTTTAGAATCCCGGAACGAAAACTTCTGACAATCAAACAAATCATGATCCTTCTTTGGACTCAAAACACACTAGGCTGCTACTGAGGGTCATCCCACGCACAACAGAATGAAAAAGTGCCCAGGCCTGTGCCAACCTCACAGCCATTGTGATGCCTGAGTTCCTAGTGGCAGCCACTGTGTCAGTCCATCTCACTGAGGATCTCCCCCTTTTTTGCTGCCCCACCACTTTACCAAACACGACGTCCTTCTATGACCCATCAGGGGAGAGCGGCTGTTCCCTCCTGAGAACATGTCCAGAGCACACGAGATTACTTCTCACCATGCCACCATTCCTTCCAGGCTCTTTACTGGCTGCGGTTCTTCCAAGACACATTTGTTTCTTTTTCTGGCAGGGAGGCCACAGTATAGTAACATGCTTCACCTGCACAATAACTAACTACACGGATTCTTCTGCATTTTCTTTATTCAGCGTCGAACTTGCCCATGCATCTGAGGCAATTTTAAAATATCATACTCCTCAAAGTGACGTCCATGGTTTTCAATACTTTCAAGGAATTTAGTGCAAGAGATTTGCCCAATGCAATGCTTCTTTTAATTTTTCTTTTTAAAAAATCACTTTATTGGGGGCTCATACAACTCTTACTACAATGCATCCATCCATCCATTGTGTCAGGCACCTTTGTTCCCTTGTTGCCATCATCATTCTTAAAACATTTTATTTCTACCTGAGCCCTTGATATCATCTCTACTCCCTCCCCGTCCCACCTCCCTCACAAACCCTTGATAATTTATAAATTATTATTATTATTTTGTCAGGTCTTACACTCGCTGACATCTCCCTTCACCCACTTTTCTGTTGTACATCCCTCAGGGAGAGGGTTCTAAGTAGATCCTTGTGATCGGTTCCCCCTTGCTCCCCCACTTTCCCCTTGCCCTCCTGGTATCTCGACTCTCATTATTGGTCCTGAGGTGTTTATCTGTCCTGGATTCCCTGTGTTTCCAGCTCTGATCTGTACCCCTGTACATACTCTGATCTAGCCGGATTTGTAAGGTA